TTTTTCTTTTTTTTTTTTTTTTAACGAAAATGATTATTATTATTATCATTAAAAATAAAAAAAAGACAGATGGTTATGTTAATAATAATAATAATAATAATAATAAATAAGTTTTATAAAAAAATAAATAAATAAATTTATTGGAAATCAATCGAATTCGTCAATAAAAAAAAAAATTAATAATTTTTATTTATTCAAAAAATCAATTAATAATAATAATATTTTGTCTTGAGCTTTTTCTTCTTCCACGACCTTTTTCAAACCTTCATTTATTTATTTATTTTAAATTATTTTATAATATTAATTTTATCGGTAAATAAATAAATAAATAAACAAAATATAAAAACAAACAACAAATCGATATTAAAGTTCAGACTTTTTTTTTTTTTTTTTTTAAAGTCTTTTTCAATAAATTGTTTTTTTTTTGTTTTTCCAACGCGAAAGAGAGAGAGAGAAAATGTAAAAAAAAAAAACATGATGGAAAGCTTAAAATATAAAAACCAATTTAATTTAATTTAAAGTTTTTTTTTTTTTTTTAATTTATAGATATAAATAGAATTAATAAGTTAAGGAGAGGGAAAAATTGTATGGAAAAACTGACACGAGGATTATTAACATCGGATTTATGTTCCAAACAACAACAACAACAACAACATATTATGTTTTTTTTTGTTTTATATATATATATATAAAAAAAAAAAACTCACCGTCAAAATTCGAAGTATGAGTGTTGTGTTTCGAAAATCGTATTCGAGACTGAAATGTATTTGACCGACATTTTCCGTTGGTTCGGCATTATCGATATACATATCGACCAATGATATCGATCGATTTTGTAAAAAAGCCATCTGGAAAAACAAAAAACAAAAAAATTTTTTTAATGTTAAATCGATTCTTCCTCCTCCTACCCATCCTCCTCCTCCTTCTCCTCATCCAAAAAAAAAAAAAGACTTTATTCGAAACAATTGTGATATAAAACAACAAACAAGATTGTTTTCCTTACTTTTCCTTTTGTTGTTCTAGAAAAACTTAATAGAAAAAATAAAAAATAAACCGGAAATGGAACGGAATCGATTCGAAATTAAGAAAAAAATAACATATAATAATAAAATAAAAAAAAAACATTTAAAACTATCGAAAGATTTACAAAACTTTTTTTGTTTGTTTTGTTTGTTTTTTTTATAACTTTCTAATTATAACAATAATAATAATAATATTGATGATAATAATAATAATGAAAAAGTTTTTTCAAGTTATGGCGTCAACATTGTTAAACAAAATGTTTTAATAATGTAATAATAAAATGCCAAAGAGAAAATTATATACATAAATATAAGTTAAACAATTTATTAATTATTCTAATTGAACAAACAAACAAACAAACAAATAAACAAACAGACTGACTATATATTAATTTCATAAACCAACAAACTGTTACTTAAAAAAAAAAAAAAAAATTTATGCGAATGTTTTTAATTAAAATAAAAAATAAATAAATGATTTTTTTTTCTTTATTTATAGCTTGAAAGAATAATAATAATAATAATAATAATAATAATAATAATAATAATAATAATAATAATAATAATAGTGAAATTTAAATCTTTAGGAACATTAAAAAAAAAAAAAACAAAATCGAGAGACAACCAATAACAATCACAAACGGATGAACGAATTTAAAAATAAAAAAAACGGTTTTCAAATTAATCTTGGAAATTACCAGAACGAAAATAAAGGAAAAAAGCAGAAGAAAAAAGGAAAAAGGTTGAAATAAAAGAAGTTGGAAAATTGAAATTTTTTTTTCCTAAGGAAAAAAGTCAAAAAAGGAAGGGCGGAGGGCGGAGGAGGGGGAATTTTACAGGGTCATCCAATTGGGACTCGTCTTAAATTTAAAAAAAAAAAAAAAGAAAATCTTTTTAGAAATTTTCACGATTCATTCATTTTTGCGCTTCGTATAATGATTGCTATGTAATGAAAGAAAAAAAAAATTAAAGTGGAAGCAGATAAAAATGAAAATGATAAATTATCATTATTTATTTTGAATTTTTTTTTTTTTTGCGACGGAAACGGTTTTGCGCCGTTGGAAATGTGACTTTTTTTTCCCCATTTTTTCCTTCTAAATTGCTAAATCAATAGGAAAAAAATCTTTCAGGCGGTCACGTATACACGAATTTCATTCCAAATCATTCATTCATTCATTCATTCATTCATTCACTTTTATTATTTTTTAACAATAAATAATAAATTATCAAAGTTATATTTACCAAAAAAAAAATTTTCCTTCTCCTTTCAATGACTTTGTTAACTTGTTAATAATTTTTATTTGTTTAATAAATTGATCATTTCCGGTTAAAAAATTAACGAAACCTTTTTGTCTCCGGATTAATGATAATAATGATGATAATAATACTAATTATAACAACTTTGATAACACACGAGCACGCACTCACAATTTTTTTATTTTTTTATTTTACGGTTTTTCCTCATTTTATTGACGTCACGATCAAGTGAATAAATGAAATTTTTTTTTTTTTTTTCAAAACCCTTTTTTACATTATTATTGTTATTATTATTATTAATAAAAAACAATAAAATTTAAAATTCATAAAATAAAAATTGAAAAATGAATTGAATAATTTTACACGTTGAAAAAAAAAAATATTTTAATTGGTTCCACGAAAAAAAAAAAGAAAGGCGAGAAATCCACCTACTCGGAGGCTAGGTATGGAGGATGTTTTAAGGGTGGGGGGTTTTGGGATTGGATTTCTCAAGTTGACTAGGCGTCCGTTAGGGGTAAATATTTAAATTGGACGCCTTGAGGGAGCCCGAGATACACAAGTTGAGTTAAAAAAGGGGAAAAGTAGGACCAAAAGGTTGAGAGGCTTGGAAGTGGGAGTTCAATTTAAACTCATCCAAACAAGAATAGACCTAATATAGAAAGAAATGAGTTACCTAGGACCCTTTTGAGGCATCAGGGATGCGCCAACCCTTGTTCTGTGGGAGTGAGTCTGGGTACTTGATCCAAATAGGGAAAATGCGGAGCTGGGGTGTGAAATTAGGATATCTCTCTCTCTCCAGGAACTCGCAGAAGGTAACACATCGGGACTGCCTCAGGAAGGACGGAAACGGGAAGTACCGGGATCTTCCTCGGGTGTGAACCTGATGATTTAGGAAGAGGTTGAGCCTGAAATGGAGGTTGTACTCCCACGGATGCACCTCCCTCCGGTAAAGAGTAGGAGTTTTAGTCGGGCAGTGGCTTCGGATAAGTCCCCCTCACACTCTTCCTGCTACCGAGTGGGAGGATGTTATTACAAAATGCATTTCCCCTGGGTTAACAAAAAAAAAAAAAAGGCAAATAAGGGAAATTATTAACACATCAATAAATAAATAAATAAAAATTTAATTTTTAACTTTTTATCAGCGACATAAACTTATTATCATCATCATCATTAAAATCATCGCAACGTAAAATTATTTTATTAAATCCCCCCTCCCCCAAAATCCTTTCGTTGGCGTCACCCGCATCGTTTACTCGTTTCCTTTTTTTCCCCTCCCCGTGTTTGTTTGTAATGAATAAAAAATAACAACAAACAAACACACACACATGTATGAAACGGAAAAGGTTAAAAAAAAAATTTTTTTTCTTTTTTTTTTTTGTTCGTCGAAAAATAAAAAAACACATCAAGGAAGCATAAAAATGATGATGACGACGACTGGGATGATGAGAAAAGTAATTAAGGATAAAAGTAAGTAAAAAAAAAAAAAGGCTCTGAAAAAAAAAGGTAAATGGAAAAATTCAAAGAAACCTTATTGTTTATATCACATTGAAAAAAAAAAAAATTCGAGTAAATTTTTTTCATTCTTATTGTTTACCTTTTGTTACATTTTTTTTTTTTGTATAATAAATTTTTTTGTTTATTGTTGTTAAATAAAAGTAAACATTTTGTTTCAAACACAATATTTGATCCCTGATTAGTTTTTTATGTTTGTTTGTTTGTTTGTTTGTTGAAAAATTTTTTTGTTAAGATTTTTACAAAACCTCAAAAACATCCCTTCCCCATCTCCCCACCACTCTCCACGATGAAAATCCTTTTCCTTTATGAAAATTTTTATTATTGTTACCCTGATTATTGTTTGCCCTTTTGTATTTTAATAATAATAATAATAATACAAATGATGGAAAATTTTTTATTAAAAAAAAAAAAAAATTTCAGATGTTGGATAATTAAGATTGAAAAAAATTTTATACAAAAATTTTTTTTTCCTTTTTTCTTCTGCTTCCACTTTTCCTACAGTAAAAAAGTTTCTTTTTAAATGTTATTAAAAAAAAAAAAAGAAAAATTAAAACTAAAAACCAAGTAATACTAATTAAAAGAAAACAAGAAAAGTTTTCCTTTTAACAGAAGACCAACTTTATAAAATTAAAAAAAAAAAAAACAACAACAACCGTTTCTGTATTCCTTTTTGATTTTCAAGAAAAAAACAACAACAAACATTTAAGTTTTTTTTTCAGGGAGAGAAGGAGAGAAGCGGGGGGAAAGGATGAAAGAATAAAAATAAAACATATAAATATAAAACAATTTAAAAATAATTAAATTAAAAATAAAAATAAAAGACAAACCAAACGTACGAATGAACAAACAAACAAACAAACGAAGAAACCTTGGAGTAAAAAGAAAAAAGTTTTAAACTTGAACATTTTTTTTAAAAAAAATTTACCGGACAAGATCAAAAACAATCCAGGAACTCGAAAATAAAAATAAAAACAATTTGTTTTAGTTAACTACAACGACAGCAGCAACAGCAACAACAAACAAACAAAATAAATTAAAAAACGTAAAATTAAAATTATATATAAATAAAAAAATAATGATAATAATTAGAAATAATAAAAATTTAATTGGTGTTTTTTTTTTAAATAAAACGTCGTGGCAGAAGAAAAAAAGAAGAAAATTCGAGGGAAAACATTTTTTTTTTTTGTGAAGGGGAGAGAAAGGATTCTAACTCTCACATTGTCGCATAATTTTCATTTTTTCCAGAATTTTCCTCCTTCGTAATCTTTTGCTTACCTAACAAAAATTTAATTTTTACCCTTTTTTTTTTTAAACCCTTAACTGACCTCAACCCTTAATTAAAAAAAAAAAAAATGGTTTAAACGAGAGGAAAAATGTGTGGAAAACTTAAAAAAAAAATAAAAATATTTTTAAAGTTTGTTTTGTGGTTTTTCTTTTTTTTTTTTTGAGTTTTCCTTCAATCGGATTTTTTTTTCGGAAAATATAAATTTAAACGTGGCACAAGAAAAAAAAATAGTAAATGACGACTCACCGAGGGATGATCTTTTTGCATTTGTTTATTTTGTAAAGTCGGTGGAGTTTTTGCTTCAGCCGGCATTGATACTCCTGGTGATCCGGTAATTCCGCTTGTACTTGTATTTCCGGGTGATTTGGCACCGCTCGGAGCACCCGCAGTTCTTTAAACAAAAACAAAACAAAAACATTTTCAATTAAATATGTTTTCTCATCAATAATAATAATAATAATAATAATATAAATATTAAAACGTTAATTTGTTTTTCTTTCGGCAACCCAATACTTTTCATCCCTTTTTAACAAAACACAAACAACAACAACAACAACAAACCGGTTTAATAACAATTAATTTTTCTTTTATAACAATACAATAGAACACCACGAAAACAAACATAAAAAAAGAATTAATAAAAATTATTACGACACAACACAACACAACATAAAAACATAAAACCTCATCACGAAAAAACATCAAACAAAAATACAAATTAAAACGAGTTTTTCTACCTTATTTAATTACAAACGTGTTGTAATTATCAAAGAAGAAAAAGAAGCAGAAGAAGAAGAAAAAGAAGAAAAGAAGCAGAAGAAGAAAGTTTTAGAAATTTTTTAAAAATGGGGTCATAGGTCATACACAAACACACACACGTAAAAGTTACGTTGACAACAGTTAATGACCTTTTTCAAAGGAAAACAACAATGTTTCTCATGTGCTGTTGCATAAAACAAAGTGTAGTGAACAAAAAAAAAGATTAATAATAATAATAATAATAATAATAATAATAATAATAATAATAATAATAATAATAATAATAATAATTTTTTACAAAGTTTCACAAGATTAAAAAAAAAAATTTTAACAATTTAGGAAAAGTTAATAAAAAAATTTAAGTAGGGAAAATTTAACGTTCTTTAAAAAAAGAAAAAAGAAAATTTCAAAATTAAATACTAAAAGCACAACGTAATATAAATAAAGTTAATTAGTATTTTATTATGAATTTTAAATTAAAAATTTCATAAAATACAAACGCAGGCACATGCATCATGCCAAAGAAGGTACGACAACGACTTAAATTAATTATTTACTTACTCAAGTTGTGCTCTTTATACGATTACGTCATCATCATCATCATCACCATCATCGTCATCAAAAACATCAAAAGAAAGCATGGAAAAAAAAAATTGTTAAAAAAAAATGTTCGTAATATAAAACAATTTTTCGAATGAAGATTTCTTTTTTATAAAGTTTTAATTAACTGTTTCCGGTTTATGAAATTAATAAACTTTTTATTTTTTTTGGTGATACACAAAATGGCGATCGATGGTTTTTGTTTTGTTTTAATATTCGACGGATAAATATTTATTATTAGTAGTAGAAACGATTAATTTTTTTTTTTTTAGCGTGTAGTTGTTTTCTCCTGACACGTTTTTCCATTATTTATTTTAAATTTATTTGGTGTAAAATATAAAAGAATATAAATTAAACACGAATTAATTCGTAATTATCCATGTTTCGGCCATTAATAATATTTTCTTTTGTTTTATCAACTCCGAATGGGGAGACAAAGGACTCGAATATTTGTGTGTTGAAAATTTTCTTCTTTTGTTTTTTTTCCACGTTGTAAATTTTAGTTTTAGTTTTTTTTTTGGGCATCGTGTTTTCGATAAAAACCAAAAAAAAAAAAAATTATAAACTTAAAAAAAAATACGTCGCTTCTCCCTCTCTTCTGCCCCCCTCCCTCCTTCCCTCTCCCGGAAAAAAAAATCGGGAATTTTAATCACGTACGTCATGTTTTTATTAATTTAATAAAAAACGGAAACGGAAATGCCAATTACAATAAAACATATCGATAATATTAATTTCTTAATTATAATACAAAAAAAAAAAATAAGTTGGCAACAATGTTTGTTAATTTTTTTTTTTTTTTTTTAATTTTAAATAATTTTGATCGTTATTTTATTTTGAATGTTTAGCTTATGGGTTTTCACAATTTATTTTCTTCTTTTTTCAACATTTTACCCAATTTTCGAATTCTTTCTCTCTCTTTCTCTCTCTTTCTATCTCTCTCTCTTCCCCTCTCTTTATCTCTCTTTCCTTTTTTATATTCTTTTATATTTTTATTTTTTGTTAACTCTTTTTTTTACCCGTTAAATTATATTCAAAAGAAAATTACTTTTAGTTAGTTCAAAAAAAAAAAAAAAAAAAGAGAAAATTTAATTTTTTTTTTTTTTTTCATATCGGTTTCTTTTTTTTCTTTTTTTTTCATATTTTTATTTTTTTAACTTGCTAAATAATAATATTGTTGTTGTTAGATAAAAGAAAAAAAAAACGTGGAAGCAAAAAACGCGAAATTTTCACTGTAAGTAATTTTTTTTTTTTTGTAATTTCTTCGACTTTTAAAAAATTTTCCAGTATATATTCAAAGAACATAAAAAATCGGTTATTATTATTATTATTATTA